GAGAGAGAGAGAGAGAGAGAGACTAATGAATCTTTGTGGGAGGAGTCCTCGCAGGATCAGCGGTCGGAGTTGGCTTCTCAGCGTTTCCCTTAGACGGGATGGTGAAATTGGACCGCCAGGTGATGGTACGCACTTGATCGCGAGAACTCCGCACCAATGATAGTAATTCGGACAGCACTTCGTCTCGTGAGCGATTAAGTTAATATTCGACTCTTCGTACTGTCCTCGCGAAGGGCTCTTATATATCATACCTAAGGTACGCTGTTTTTTTGGACTTTGGACTTTGATTCGATGGTGATTCACCCTGTTTTGAGTGTTATTGTTTCGAAATATAGGGGTGACTAATGATTTTTCTTTGAATTATTGGGAAAGCCTTTCTAAAAATAGAAGTGATTACACATATTTCTATGAGTCATACTGCCACTAGGCGTATACGTGTGATAATTAACACATTTAGTATCTACAGTTATTTGGTGATATTAATTATTCCTACGTTAAGAATCGATCTTCGATCGGTCACGCTATTGACTCTCTAATAGACTCTCTGATACCTTAGGGATTGCATGCATGGAACTGCGAGTGATTCGCAATTGAGAAATAAGTTCTCTACACGAAAGAAAAGAATCGTGGAGTCGTCAGGACGTAACAGCACATTTATAGCACTTCCCGCGTAGCACAGCAGCGCCTGCAAAGCGCTCGGAAAGCGCTATAAAAGCGCTATGAAACTGCATTTACCTTGCGCTTTGCAGGATGGAATTTACTGTCCAAACAGAGAAAATTTGAGAAGATTGAAATAACAAAATAGTTGCAACTGTTTTATGATATTTTATTACAAACATGTAAACAATAATATGTAAATGATAATTTACATTCACATTTAAAATTTCTTACATGTACACAATTTGTACATACACATGAAATATTTATTGTTATGTGATTTAATTAGAAACATGTAATTAATAACATGTAAATGACATTCATATTTACATATTTTTAACATAATATATTCATCCATATGAGATAATTATTTGTTATTAAGTGATTTAATTATACATGTAAATAATAACATGTAAAGCAAAAAAATACAAAAATAGATTAATAACCAAACTCTAGCGAATTAAACCAAACTATGAAATTGCCTATAAGAGCTGACATTGGATGAATTTGTGTATATAAACTTATTTAAGTGTTACATACAAATGTAATATATGGTTGGATTGCCATTTGGATCCTTATCAATAATAGTGGTAGGCTATCCTATGTGGTAGGACTATTATTCAAAAGGATCTAAACGGCGATCAAAACGTATATTACATTTGTTACACTTGTGTCACGAGTGCTAAATTGCACAAGTGTGTGTGTGTGTGTGTGATAATTGCGCAACGAAACATGCCAAAACGATACTCTAACAATTTACGAAATCATATTATTTAAATTAAAGAAAAAAGTATCAATTAATATAAAAGAAGACCCTGAGAAATGCATACTCAGATGCGCGAATACTGGCCTCGTCCGATAAGCGGAACGCTGACGGATCAGCGCGGACGGCCCAAGGCTGATCCCCAAATTATCGAATATAAGCGCGAACCCCATTTGCGGTCGACGGTCAGAAAATCGGTCAAGATAATAAGCATAACGCGTCGCGTTGCGCCGTCCGAATCATTACAGTAAATATTTCTTTCGCGAATACGATAAGTGAATTGTGATAGTAAATCAATACAACTTGTGTTTGGTGAAAATAAAGATATTTAATAAAGTTGCTAACTGCTACATGAAAGTGTTTTCTTCTAATAAAACCATTCATCGAGTCCTGTGTGGATCCCGGACCGTGCCGTACAGCGGCACAACATTTAGTGGCAGCGGTGTGATCCACTCAGCTGGCCCAGGACCCGAGAGTAGTGACGGCAGCAATCAGCCTATAAACAAGGTAATATAAATAGGCGAAGGAGCGACCCAAGGAGGCAACGCAGAAGCCAGGTGATCGACATCAAAGCGAGCACCCGATATAGCAGCCGACGACCAGGACGCAGATAGCAGCGTAACCCGAGAGGCACCACCTACAACTGTAACTCAGCGAACAGCGGACTACAAGCAACATGCGATTAACTGCGTTAATGTAAGTCCAAAAAAATTCTTCGTAAACGGATAAATGTCCGGAAGCGGAAATAATCCCGATAGATTTAACGCACCGATAACTTCACGAATCTACAGCGAG